CAGACCAAAGGAGAGATATCCACCGGTCTAATGTTCATTGCTTGTGATTCTTGGCCCAAGCAAGTCTCTTCTTCTTATTGGTGTCCTTCAGTAGTGGTTTCTTTGCATCAATTCGACCATAAAGGCCTGATTCACGCAGTCGCCTCTGAACAATTGATGTTGAGATGTTTCTGTTACTTGAACTCTGTGAAGCATTTATTTGGGCTAGAATCTGAGGTGAAGTTAACTCTAATGAACTTATCCTCTGCTGCAGAGGTAACTCTGGGTCTTCCTTTCCTGTGGCGGTCCTCATGAGAGACAGTTTGATCATGGTGCTGGATGTTTTTGAAGTGCGACTGCACTTGAAGAAGCATTCAAAGTTCATGAAATTCTCCGGATTGACTGACCTTCATGTCTTAAAGTAATGATGAACTGTAGTTTATTTTTGCTTATTTGAGCTGTGCTTGCCATACTTTGGACTTGGTCTTTTACCAAATATGGCTATATTTTGTATACCACCCCTACCTTGTCACAACACAACTGATTGGCTCAAACGCATTAAGAAGGAAAGAAATTCCACAAATTAACTTTTAACAAGGCACACCTGTTAATTGAAATGCATTCCAGGTGACTACCTCATGAAGCTGGTTGAGAGAATTCCAAGAGTGTGCAAAGCTATCTTCAAGGCAAAGGGTGGCTACTTTCTTGGTTACTACATGATTCCATATATGTTATTTCATCGTTTTGATGTCTTCACTATTATTCTACAATGTAGAAAATAGTAAAAGTAAAGAAAAACCCTTGAATGAGTAGATGTGTCCAAACTTTTGACAGGTACTGTACATCCTGTGGCTAGACTGTATACTGTGGCTTCATATGAGTGCTTTCTCCGCACTAGCGTAATATTACATGTTCCCTGAAGGCTGGCATGTGTTATCTGTCCCTCTGAGGTTTTACATTGATTTCAACAGATTTCTAAAGTGATTTTTGTAAGAGCATTTGGGTGGGATTAGTTTGCCTCTGAAAGCAGCATGAGAGCTTTTGGTTGGCTATTTAACAGAGAGTAAGGCCAGCATTACCTTACTGGCCCAGCTCTGAGCAGCACTAGATGAGGAGATGCTGATAAAGAGAGGGGATTACTGTCAGGCAAAGCTGATCTCCCACCTTGTGCACAGGATTTTGTAGGCCAGATACAGGTGTACGAAGGTCCAGTCTCATGAATAATCCCCTTAGGCCTAATGGATTTGCACGACACTCACTTGAAAGTAAGTCAAGCCATTTAGGAGTTGGAACTGGGGGATGGGAGGAACATGAACTCATGAACTCAATAGGCTAGTGATCGGTAGACATGATCCATGGATGGGTCTTTTGTACGTTTGTAAACTCCTCGTGACGCTCTTGATCATGGACCTGAATTACATAACCTGACAATCATTACGATATTTTTGCTTACTTTCATAGCTGACTCACAGAATAAGAAACACCATATCAAAACAGTTCAGATGTGAAGTGTAATTCTATGGTCATGGGTGTCTGTTTCTACTACTCTGGGACCAGATGGAGACAGGGCTTTACCGTGAGATCACAAGCTTACAGAACAGACAGACAGCTCGGGATACAGCATAGGCTACTAAGAGTGAGTCATGGTTAAGTACAAGCCTGTGAGGTGTCGCTGTCAACATGAGAATGAGACAGACTCCAATATGACTGACAGAGAACACCATCCCAGCAAGAGATCAGCGCAATGTAGTACTGATCACAAAACAAAGTGTGATGTTTTACAGGGCAAAGGTCTAAATATATGCTAAATCCAAGTTACTGTAAGACAGAGTGGGTGGCACACCATTGTGGCTCTCCATGGCCTCATTTGCAACCAGCAATAAGCTCTGGATTCAGAGAAAGCCAAACGCTAGATGTAGATGCTTTTACAGTAAAAGCAAATTAATTATCTGTAGCGCCTTTATTCCTAATGGTTTTTGTAAGTAGGGAATATTGGCAAACTTGAGAAAACAAAGAATACATAATAGACTTTTTGAGATGTCAGTCCTGTTGCTTCAAAGCAACTTTGACATCTCCTCGCTCTCCTGTAGTCCATGTTGCTGCAGTGCTATGGCTGCAACATCCCATAGGGTGCACATTAATAAGATGAAATGTCCCCTCTCCTCTCTAGTCCATGGGCTGCACTGCTATGCCTGTAACATCACATAGGGTGCACACTAACAACTTGACATGTCTACTGGTGCACACTAATACGTTTACATATCTATCTACCAGTGCGCACTAAAAGTGGTATGTCTCCCCTCTCTCCTCCCTAGTCAATGGGTTGCAGTGCTATGGCTGTAACATTATCCAGGGCCAGAGGTACGTGGACATTGGCTGCTCCAACCCAGAGGTCCTCACCTGCACCCACTCACACAAGGGCTTCAAGCACCGCTTCTGCATCAAGACAGAGAGCAGTGAGTCTGTTTCTAATGTTCCTGAACTGATGACTGTCTCAATCAATGCCTGTCTTCATCTCCAATCCCTCCCTTCTATAGATTTTCTCATTCACGGTCTTCTCTGTCTGTTAATGAATGTGTCTGTGTGAAAGAACCCTGTAATGTCTATATGTAGAAAGTCTATTGACCCACATTGTCCAGAAAATTGAGATTAAACAGGAGGGAATACCCTAACCTCTCCTCTGCACTCTTTAGCCATACTATTGTATGTAAAAAGGGCAAGGCCTTATCTTGATGTGAAGATTCCATGGCATCTTACTACATAGCTACAACAGGCTTTATTCCACCAAATGTGTAAGTAACAGTCAGTCAATCCTGTAGGTAAAATCAAAATAGAGAAGACGGACTGCCATACATAATATTAAAGAGTTGATGGAGTTCTGCTGACATCCATGCATGTAAGATCCAGCTGTTCTCCTGTTGACAGCTGAAGGAGCCACTCACGTAAAGGGCTGATGTGGCACTGTTTTGTAGTGGCTCAGGGAAATAATGGGGTCAATGAAGAGTAACGACAGCCTGTCACACACACAAGAATGACAGGGCTCTGCTAAAACGGGACACAGGATCCCTTTAAACAGCGTCTTGGGGATAATCTAGAACTCTTCTTCACTTTAATCCCATGGGCACAACTCCGACTGGACCGGCGGCTGCTGTTTCATAACCAGCTTAGCGTCCCACTCCCCTCACTTTGTCCCCAGCTGGGAGATTTGTCTGACGCGGCTGTTCCCCACCTGGACTGTATCCACCGTCCAGCTGTCACTTTCTTATGACTGATGAGGGATTTATGGCTCTTGATAGACAAAAGTGGTCTGCTCGGACTTAAAGAGAGCATTGATGTGGGTGTTTTTTCTTAAGGGTTGTAGATGGTTTACGTACCAAGTTTTATGGAGTGTTTGATAGCTTGGCTGGATGCCCTTATGTAGTTGTACAGTAACAACTTTCAATCAACTGCCAAATTGTAACTTTTTTGCTCTGACTTACAGACATGCATATTTTTCAATCTATTGTACACGTGCGATGTGTCCTCCTAAGCAACCATTACATTCAATCAGTAAACACAGTTTACCACAAGGAAAATTGAGAGATTTGATGATGTAATTCCGTTCTATGACAGCCTCCCTCTCTGCACTCCTTTGGCTCTCAAGGACTTTAAAACACACATGAATACACTGGCATTCTTTGCTTCTTCTGCCTCTTTCCTGATGACCTCACCATCTACTTGTCACTCTTCTCTGACTTCCTGTCATTTCAGCGGCCCTGGGAATTGTCCTGACCAGTGGATGTGCCACATCAAGACACTGCCAGCAACATGAGCTGCCTGGAGTGCGCATCCACTGCTGCGCCTCAGACCTCTGTAACAGCACCCCCTGCTGTCGAGCAAGCATATTGCATTACGTCTGCGTCCTGGCAAGCCTGCTGCTGCTGAGGTTGTGGTTGTGATATGAGGTCACAACTTGTACAGAGACTCAACAATTGGTCAAATACACAGATGGAACTCGGAATAAACCATCTATGAATGACACTTTACATGACTAGTTCTCAGTGTCTCTTCTCAGCTCCACATGTTAAGAGGGTTGTACAATACTGTACATGGACTAGCCGGTGCCCCCGCACATTGACTCTGTACCGGTACCCCCCTGTATATAGCCTCCGTACTGTTATTTTATTTTACTGCTGCTATTTAGTTATTTGCTTTTATTTTTTTTGCTTAACACTTTTTTTATTTGTTTTACTTTGCGTTGTTGGTTAAGGGCTTGTAAGTAAGTATTTCACTGTAATGTCTACACCTGTTGTATTCGGCTTTACACTGGACTCCTTATCCCAATGTCAGAAAAGAAAGGCAAATAACTAAGCCAAGGTTTTCTCATATTTCAATATAATGGTGCTTTTATACAGTCATTGAGTTTAGGAAGTGTCCCAGAGAGTAATGTTCAATAACAAATCATCAGAAGGGCCTATGGGTATCAAAGAAAAGGAAAAACAAGGCTGTTAGTTATATGGCTTGAATCGCATTGTAATGAGTGATCTGGGGAATTAATTGACAGCTGTGACATTCTGTATTTATTCAAATTGATATCATTTTAGTCCTAATCATCAGTACTGCTTCAGTTGCTTGTAAAGCGCAAATCTTAATTTATGTGGGTTATGTTTATTCAGGGTTAAACCCTAGATAATACAGTAAAATAAGGTTCAACGTAAGCCGTATTGTTTATTGCTTTTTTTATTCAGTTTCCTCTGATTTAAGCTAAGTTTGGAGATGCATGCTGCATGTTGATTTATTTCAGATTGTAAAAATGTACAAAATAATAGTACAGTGAAAGCATGTAATGTTGTGAAATACTGTATTAAAATACTTAGTCATACCATGTTCTCTATCCTATACTATAACATACACACTTATATATTGTTAATTAGTAACCATTGTATAAATGCAATCTAAAACATTGGTCTCAACAATTCATGCAACTGAGTCAAAAATGCCCACTGAGAGACTAAAAAGAAGACCGAAAAGTTACTCTTTACATGGCAAGGTAAGTAGCCCAGAAAAAACACCACCTTTTTTGTGAGACTTGTGTTCTATGCTTCCATCTCAGAGCAATATAAATCAATCAATGCATTGAATGTGAGTGGCCCAGTTTGGATGTCTTTACATCCTCTGGGCACTAGATGTCTTCTGTGAGGGAGTTAGGAAGTTCAGACACAATAATGAAAAATATATCAAGTGGGAAAAGGCACAGAGGGCACATTCAAAAGATGTTCTCTGTGCACGAAAAATAATAAAATGTATTGTGTTGATTTTATGACAGCTGATGCATTTCTGGTAAGAATAAAGACAACGTCTGATCAGCTTGCTAGCCCTGACGTTCCTATCACAGTCTGATTTATTAGGCAACTATGATTTTTATTTATTTATTTAAGCTTTATTTGATCAGGGAGTCATACTGAGACCAAGGTCTCCTTTACAGTGAGCCCTGAATTACAGAAATTACAGAAAATGCATCAACATATAAATACAAAATGCAAGCAGAAAGAAAAACACTGTCATAAAAAACAAACACATTCATCAGTAGTAAGGTCCTCAATCAGCTTTCTAAATTACACTAGAGGCACCAAAACATACAATTTAAGAAAATGTTGAAGATTGTTCCACAAATAAGATGCAAGAAAACTAAAAGCTTATTTACCTAACTCAGTAGAGACCAAAGGAATTTCCAGAGTTAGCCATCTCTGAGACCAGGTGTGGTAACTCATATAGTATGTCTAAAGTTTAGTAAAGCTGTTAGGTACAGTGGAACTTTTGTAAAAGGGCTTTATAAATGAAAACATAGCAATGTATCAACATATGTGACATCAAAGAAGGCCAACCAACTTTCTGGTAGAGAATGCAGTGATGAGTACTAAAATTGTCGCCCGTAATAAAGCGCAGTGCGCTATGACAAACTGTATCTAAGGGCTTTAATGAAGTGGCAGCTGCGTTCATTCATATAGATGATTTTGCCATAGTCTTGGACCGATAGGAACGTCAACATTGACTACAGCTCAGCGTTCAACACCATATTGCCCACAAAGCTCATCACTAAGCTAAGGACCCTGGGACTAAACACCTCCCTCTGCAACTGGATCCTGGACATCCTGACGGGCTGCCCCCAGGTGGTAAGGGTAGGCAACAACACATCTGGCACGCTAATCCTCAACACTGTGGCCCCTCAGGGGTGCGTGCTTAGTCCCCTCCTGTACTCCCTGTTCACCCACGACTGCGTGGCCAAGCACGACTCCAACACCATCATTAAGTTTGCTGACGACACAACAATGGTAGGCCTGGTCACCGACAACGATGAGACAGCCTATAGGGAGGAGGTCAGAGACCTGGACAACAACCTCTCCCTCAACGTGAGCAAGACAAAGGAGATGATCGTGGACTACAGGAAAAGGACGGCCGAACAGGCCCGCATTAACATCGACGGGGCTGTAGTGGAGAGGGTTGAGAGTTTCAAGTTCCTTGGTGTCCACATCACCAACAAACTATCATGGTCCAAATACACCAAGACAGTCGTGAAGAGGGCACGACAACACCTTTTCCCCCTCAGGAGACTGAAAAGATTAGGCATTGGTCCCCAGATCCTCAAAAAGTTATACAGCTGCACCATCGAGAGCATCCTGACCAGTTGCATCACCGCCTGGTATGGCAACTCCTCGGCATCCGACCATAAGGCGCTACAGAGGGTAGTGCGTACGGCCCAATACATCATTGGGGCCAAGCTTCCTGCCATCCAGGAACTATATACTAGGCGGTGTCAGAGGAAGGCCCCTCCACCCCCTTTGTTTTTACACTGCTGCTATGCATAGTCACTTTACCTCTACCTACATGAACAAATTACCTCGACTTAACTGTACCCCCGCACATTTACTCGGTACCGGTACCCCCTGTATATAGCCTCGTTACTGTTATGTAATTTTATTGTGTTACTTTTTATTTTATTTTTTACTTTAGTTTATTTAGTAAATATTTTCTTAACTCTATTTCTTGAACTGCATTTTTGGTTAAGGGTTTGTAAGTAAGCATTTCACAGTACATTTACATTTCAGTCATTTAGCAGACGCTCTTATCCAGAGCGACTTACAGTTAGTGAGTGCATTCCTTTTTTCATACTGGTCCCCCGTGGGAATCGAACCCACAACCCTGGCGTTGCAAGGGCCATGCTCTACCAACTGAGCTACACGGTAAGGTCTACACCTGTTGTATTCGGCGCATGTGACAAATAACATTTGATTTGAACTAAATCATCTGCTTTCTCCTATTTGGCGAGAGACAGAACCGATTTCTATAGAAGAAGCCCATTTAACTCATCAATATGTTTTTAAAAGACAGCTTTTCATCTATCCAGATATTTGTAATAATATGCCATTTAGCAGACGCTTTTATCCAAAGCGACTTACAGTCATGCGTGCATACATTTTTACGTATGGGTGGTCACGGGGATCGAACCCACTACCCTGGCGTTACAAGCGCCATGCTCTACCAATTGAGCTACAGAAGACCACAAAGCAGGGACACGATCAATACGGACACCATCCAAAGTATATATGCTTAAATCATCAGTTATTTGTATGTGCTCTAGAGAACAACATATACTTAGTTTGACCTGCATTCAATACTCATTTCAGGTCAATCAAGTTTTTCTGTTATACAATGAAGGCAGACTGTAGTTCAGATAGAGCCTGGTCAACCGTAGGGGCAATAGCATACACAACAGTATCATCTTCATACAAGTGCAGGTTACACAAGTGCAAGTCAATATTGTTTATGAAAACAGTAAAAAGTACAGGGCCCAGAATTGACCCCTGCGGGACACCTTTCGTAATATCCAGGAAACCTGATTTAACACAATCAGTAGATACACATTGAGTTCTATCTGTCAAGTAATTTTTAAACCAGTTACATGCAGTATGATGCCTTCCCTCCATAGCCTATTCCATATCAACAAAAGAGAATTGGGTCTGATAGCCTCTGAGGTTTATAAGATAGGTCATCTTTTTTTGTCTGGGTATGAATCATAAAGCAAATACATTTGATCTACAAATCATAAGCCTAGTAATGGAATAAGTTGTAGTAGGCTTAGATCCCATTCCCAACACAGGTCTTTCTTTTTAAATAGGCCTAGTGTGGGTCCACAACAAAAGGATCAGCAATGGAATATATAGTACTGTCCTTTGACACTGATGGTAGAATATTAGGTTAGTCTACTCGCACACATGTAGGCTGAGGCCGTCTGATGCAGCACTGTCATCACACTGACCAAAGCACAAGTGATTCTTCATGCCACAAAACTGTTTAATATCGGCGACACTACCTATCCTGATCAATACATTGATAATGATTTTTCACCTTGCGCACTTCATTGCGCATTTATAATTAGTGCAAACAGCGCAAATCGCCCCATATGAATTGCCCTTTGTCCCATAAGCCACACAACAGAGGAAAAACCCTGTGCAGTGCAAGCAGCCATCTTGAACAGGCAGGCAAGGTAGATACTTCAGCCAGGATAACCTGCAGATCTCAAGACATTAAACCGACAATTCCCGGTAAGAATATAAACATAATATAGGAGTGTTCGTATCCACATATAGCTAACACATTTATAAAACGTAACATTTTGTTACAAATTATATTAGCTATGCTAACTACTACGCTAATATAGTTAGCGTCTAGCTAGCTGTCAAGCCTAGCTAGCCAACGAGTAAGGTGACTACTAGCTAACGTTATCTATCTTGCGCTGTGTAATATATTACAATTCTTCACAGGTACCCGTGGTTTTGTCTATCCATTGTGGATCTAGCCAGGTGTCTGTCGTTTTTGGGAACAGGCCATTGCTTTTGAGCTAGCTAGCTACTGTAGTATCCGGAAGAGTAACGTTACACTGGCTAGCTATCAAATTTGTTGGCCGCAACATTTCGCATAAGTTAGTTATCACGGCTCATCGTGGTAACGGTATTCTTTCCTTTTGGCCGACATGGCTAGCTACCTATTTCGCCAATAAATGATGACACGTATTTTGATTCGCTAGTTAACTAGCGTGTCGTATAACTAGTTAGTTAGCCAGTTTAGCCTGTTTCTAGCTGGCTAGTTAGATAGCTATCTTCATTGACCTACTAGCAAACGTTAAGATCGGGCCTAGTCTCGTACGTTATGGGCATAGCTGGACATTTAGTTTCTCCAGCTAACTACCCACACCTCTCCCAACAGATTTTTTACAATACATTCATTTAGCGTCCCGTCTGAACAATAAAACAAGATGCTAGCTAGCTATTTAAACAGACTGATGATGTTGCCACGGTTTGTGTTAATAGCATCATCAGCTAGCTAGCTAACGTTAGCCAGCAGATAGAGGGTTTGTGGTGCTGGATTCTTAGTTAATTCGTTTATTAACCTTCTCATCTCACGTAACTAGCTATAGTCAGATGTGTACTTGAACTGTCATGAGCAGTTAGCTAGATTATGCCCTCCTACTAGCCTACATTGTCACAAGCCAACTGTATTGTTCTGCAAAATTGTGGCGTTCATTCATCCATTAAAAGGTCCAACGCAGCCGGTTTATCTCAATATCAAATCATTTCTGGGTAACAATTAAGTACCTTATTGTGACTGTTTTCAATTACAATGGCCAAGAAGCAAAAATAGCTTCCTAGCAAAAAACAATTTTTCAAGCATAAATGTTGCTAAGACTGTCTTGGAGTGGTCTGATTGAGGGGCCTAATGCAGGGTTTCCCAAACTCGTGCCTGGGGCCCCACTGGGTGCACGTTTTGGTTTTTGCCCTAGCACTACACAGCTGATTCAAATAATCAACTCATTATCAAGCTTTGATTATTTGAATCAGCTGTGTTTGGGAAACCCTGGTCTAATTCGCTACACTCGCAATAACATCTGCTAACCATGTGTGTGTGAACAATACATTTGATTTGATTTAATAATGTATAGTACAGTAGCTGTATAGCTCAGCCAGCTATCCAGTAATCACACGACACAGCATGCATCCATATCTAGGCCTTGTCTCGGCCAGCCCTTACTGTCAATCACTGAAATATTTATTTGATGTAAGAATGAGGCTTTGATTAGGGTGGAATATGAATGTATTCATGTAGATGCGTCATCACCTGAGATACTCCTCTCATCTGTGTGACAAGAGCAGAGGCATTTGGTATTTTCTTGGCCTTGAATTTTATATTGATATTCCCTTAAAATGGCACATCACACAGTGAAAGAAATGCACTGTATGTGCATTGACTGAAGCCAAGTCTTGCAATTGATTTGGCCATTCCATGTCTGCCTTTGGTAATGATAATCACAACCCAAATGTACTTGTGCAATTTACTGCAGGATGTTCTTTGTATGACAGCATAGCAATATGACAATGAGTCAGAGAAGAGAAAAAGAGCCCAGATGTACAGTATGTGACACCGATTATATTTGTTCAACAACAGGAAGGGGGTGTCACAGCGCTCTGTTTTATGAATCAGTGCAAGTGTATGGAGAAGTGCTGAGACTGCAGTCTGGTCACATGCTCTCAATTGCCCTCTCCTTAGATGGATACTTCTCCTGGGCCTCGTTCTGGAAAAAGGGAATTTTTCCTATAATTTAACCAAAGGAGTAGCCCTAGAGTGTGTGTACGGCTCTAGTAGACCTATAGCTTTCGCCTTATGGGGAAAAACTCACGTGAGTCTGGAGGCACCACATGACAGAGGGTCATGTGAGGGGAGGCAGTCAGGCTAGTAGCAAGGCAGGCTGTGATACTAGTTCACGTCACGGTCAGTGTATCAAATCCTTTACTGAAGCTTATCGCACACACTAACTACATGACTTCCATTACACCTCAACTCTCTTTCTCCTTGTTTACTTCTCTACTGTACTCTCTCTGCACTCTGTTTTTCAAGCAGGCAGAGCTGGAATGGGGAGTGGGGCCATTTTGTAGGCCCCTTCAGTGGTGTGGCACCCAAGGGTCTCTGACCAACCCCATGCAAAGAGGATGAGGCTTAGGTGACACCTTGACCTGGAATTAACCCCCTCAGCTGATTTAGCACAAATCCATTCAATTCTGGAAGATTATCCTAAATATCACTCTTCCGTGTTTAGTTAACTCAATTTGCCTCTTTATATCACAAACATATAAACTCTGTTGCATAGCGATTTTAATCTCCAAAACTGGTTTAACTGCAATGCATTTATAATTGCTGTGTACTGAACCACAGACTTCAGAGAGACATCCCGGATAGAGGGAAACATTGTCAGAGATGATAATGGATAGCCTAGTCACAATTAATTGCACGTTAGAAGACTTGTATTTGTAGGCTATTATTCAGGGTGATTGATTTGGAATCAGATCCCATTGTTCCCTTGTGCCTTCTACTTGCGTTACAGATGTCCGCTCTCAACTATAGTGTGAGACTGCATTACTGACAAGTGGATTATTTGAATCGATCGTTAGAACGCCCTCTCTCTGACTGAATAGTTAATGCTCTTAAGTGAAGTCGGATCATGTATTCATAAACACGGCTGATTTCAATTTGAGACTATATATTTAATCCAAGCCTCTCTTTGAATATATTCTTCAGATGTGCATGACTGTGTGTGTATGTGTCTATATTCCCGGCTATCACCCATCCTTTCTTATAGACTATGGAATAGGCTATATTACCATTGAAGCAGCAATGGATATTAATTGAGAGAGGTGTCTGTGCTATAAATAGCAGGCAGCTTCTAACAGTGATGCTCTATGTGTGTGGGTGTGTGTTTGAGCCTGACCCTCTCTTTATGTAGGTGTAGTTAGTTATAATTCAAACCCATATGAATGAATGTCGCTCAGCATAAAGGCAACAGGTGGGTCGTGTGGGTAGCTGGTATCTAGGGATACCAATTACTTAATGCCTAGACCTGTATGTTTCTGTGCAGTATCTAGCCAGACTGATAAGAGGAATTGAAAGGTGCTACTTGTTCTCCCTTGGCTACTATTGTGAAATGACACATGCTAATGGTTCTGACAGAGCCTCTGTATAATGGGCTAGGGAGACACTAGGAAACACTCCCTCTTAACCTTCTCTCTTCTACAGCCTAATGTAATGTCTATTACTTTCATTTGAGATTAAAAAGGAGCTGTGCACATATGATGTAATTTCCTGAATGTAAAGTCTGATAAATCTATAATGAAATCTCTTGCCTCAAAGTGACAACACCGCTGGGGATGTTTGCTGCCCGTACTTGCAGTATTGATGACACAGTTGGCTAGAAGCCTCATATTTATCTGAATGTATCTTAGAAAATAGCCGCTTATTTGCTGTGCAGATCCGTATCGTTCTTTTAATGATGTTCATACACACCGCTCAGTCTCCCCGGGACCATGGGCCTTTGTTATTGTAGAGAGTATAGCCTTGTTCCCCCATTGGCTAAGCACAGGACAAGGCTAATGTTTACCATTCAATATAAACCTCTCTGTAAATGACTGTCACACCCCTTTTACTCCGACATCTGTCTGTGAGAGTTCTCAGAGCAGTTTGAGGCAGAGAGAGGAAACACGCCATTGAACATGGTGCATGATGAGGATCAACCAACCCAACATAAACACCCATTTGGTGCTATGCAGTTGTTTTTGTTTTAACTTCCATTGTGTGATATTAGAGAAGTTCTCTGTAGATGTAGTCCATCTTCATCTTGATGAAAACGAGTGGCTAAGCGATTATTTGATTAATGAACCTCTCAAATTGATAACATCCGTATTGTAATTGGTTATTCATCATCTAACTAACCCCTTTAGTTATTGGCTGCTGGCCTAAAGATCGTAATGGAAAACTACAAATTGTAGGTGCATCATGGGATAGTAATAACAAGGAGTCTGGACTCTGGCTCTGCCACGTCTCATCTTGTTACAGTCCGTAGTACTGTTGTGAATAGGATGAAGGCTTCTTGGAATAACTCCCCTGACAGGCCCTGTCCATCAGTGTGTGCGCATGTGTGATGTATGATGACCCTCCCTGTCTGATTTCGCAGCTTCCCAGAGAGCAACTTTTAGGTCTCTTCCTCATCTAGGCTAAGAGGCCATTGTCTAATCCTAGTTGGTTTCTCTTCTTACACAACCTGCCCACAGGGTGCGTCCCAATAAAATCTCCTTTCTCCTGAAGTGTACACTTGTTCACTACTTCCCACAAATATAAAAGCATTGGATTGGTGGAGGCATGGGCTAGAGGGAGTTTCCACCATATTTCTTATACCAGAAATGTACTTTCAAATCAGTGAAGGGAAGTGAAAAAGTGCAGACTTTGGGAGGAAGGAGAGATATAATTGGGACATAGCCAGTGATAGTTGGCTGAAGCTTGACTTCCTCATGCTGATTTGATGGACAGACATCAGTTGGGTTAGGCCCTGTAGATTGTCATACTGTAGATATTGTAGTTATAAATACATTGACTTTGTATGTGGTCAGATACATCGCTATCTGATGGTTTCAGCTCCTCCAGCTGGGTTGATTCCTACCCATACATTTGAGAGATCAGTGCTCCTGGGCCTGCTGTCTAACTGAGAAATCACATGACAGGAATCCTGAGAAATTAGGAATTATTCATACTACCTAGAACACTGTTTTAGTTCTCAGACAGCACACCAGCTGCTCAGTCTGTCTAGTATGGTCTGAGACCTGGTGACATCATTCTTTACTGACCATATTGACCAATTCACAGGCCCATGCTATCTGCCAGGCATACAGTAATTGCAAAAGTATTCATCCCCCTTGGTGTTTTTTCTATTTTGTTGCATTACAACCTGTAATTTAAATTGATTTTTATTTCGATTTCATGTAATGGACATACACAAAACAGTCCAAATTGGTGTAGTGAAATGAAAAATTCTAAAAAATAAATAATGGAAAAGTGGTGCGTGCATATGTATTCACCCCCTTTGTTAAGAAGCCCCTAAATAAGATCTGGTGCAACCAATTACCTTCAGAAGTCACATAATTAGTTAAATAAACGCCACCTGTGTGCAATCTAAGTGTCACATGATCTGTCACATGATCTCACCTGTTCTGAAAGTCCCCAGAGTCTGCAACACCACTAAGCATGGGGCACCACAAAGCAAGGAGCTCTCCAAACAGGCCAGGGACAAAGTTGTGGAGAAGATCAGGGTTGGGTTATAAAAATAAAATAAAACTTTGAACATTAACCATTAAATCCATTATTATAAAATTGAAAGAATATGGCACCACAACAAACCTGCCAAGAGAGGGCCGCCCACCAAAACCCACGGACCAGGCAACACGTTTGGTCTTCACCAAAATGCATGTGGGAGACTCCCCAAACATATGGAAGAAGGTACTCTGGTCAGATGAGACTAAAATTGAGCTTTTTGGCCATCAAGGAAAACGCTATGTCTGGCGCAAACCCAACACCTCTCATCACCCCGAGAACACCATCCCTGTTTTTCATCGGCAGGGGCTGGGAAACTGGTCAGAATTGAAGGAATGATGGATGGCGCTAAATACAGGGAAATTCTTGAGGGAAACCTCTTTCTGTCTTCCAGAGATTTGAGACTGGGACGGAGGTTCACCTTCCAGCAGGACAATGACCCTAAGAACACTGCTAAAGCAACACTTGAGTGGTTTAAGGGGAAACATTTAAATGTCTTGGAATGGCCTAGTCAAAGCCCAGACCTCAATCCAATGAGAATCTGTGGTATGACTTAAAGATTGCTGTACACCAGCGGAACCCATCCAACTTGAAGGAGCTGGAGCAGTTTTGCCTTGAAGAATGGGTAAAAATCCCAGTGGCTAGATGTGCCAAGCTTATAGAGACATACCCCAAGAGACTTGCAGCTGTAATTGCTTCAAAAGGTGTCTCTACAAAGTATTGACTTTGGGTGGGTGAATAGTTATGCACGCTCAAGTTTTCAGTTTTTTTGTCTTATTTCTTGTTTGTTTCACAATAAAAAATATTTTGCATCTTCAAAGTGGTAGGCATGTTGTGTAAATCAAATGATTTTTTTATTTTATTCCAGGTTGTAAGGCAACAAAATAGGAAAAATGCCAAGGGGGGGGTGAATACTTTCGCAAGCCAATGTAATGTTGTTTAATGTTATGGAGTGCCAGTGGTCGAGCAGCAAGACACAATGTTGCAGTTGACTGTAAGTGTGTGGTCAACCCAAGCACTGTAAAATTAAATGGGATTGTGAGTGATGTCGACAGACAGAATTAAATGATAATGTGTGGTTTCTGCATGATGCCCAGATAGAATAGATTCATAGACACCACCCTGATTCACCCAGCAGGCCTGTAATGGCCACATTGTCTTTCTCTGACTCATCTTTAACCTTTCTCTCTCTTTCAGAGCCACAATGGCCACCGCACCGTACAACTACTCCTACATTTTCAAATACATCATCATCGGTAAGTGAGCCGTGAGCACGCGTGTTGACTGAAGTGGAGTGGAGGCCTGTTTGTGTGTGTATAGTGCTGTGCTGTATGTAGGTCACCCATTGGCTGCAGTTAGCACACAGCTCAGTGAGATGCTACTGCTGCTCTCCCAACACAAGCCCTGGAAGAGCACCCATCACAAGACTAGAAACCAGCTCAGGAGTTTTTCATGGTCAGGTCATGTGGTCAAGATTACTCCAGGCCTCAACCATGACCCCATTACAGGAGATTCCTTTTGATACGGTATGAGGCCACCATCTCTCAAAGTGATTTTAAAAAATTTTCATCAATAAATGTTTTCCACGGAAGCTAGCCTAAGCAAAGTTAAATGGTTTGTGTTCTAATGACATACTGTACCGACAATGTTCTAGTGACAGGGTTATTAATTAACTTAAAATGGAATGATTGCTCTCCAGTTTGATCTGAATTACTAGCAGAAGCAATGAGCATACAGTAGCCTAATGTATTGTTGGTCCATAGCCTAGACCTAAATGTTCTGTTGTGGTGGTAGTTTTATCTTGTTGTGCATTCCACTCTTCCCCTTAAGGTATTTTCCAACCAGTTTGGCACCTCAAAATATGGAAGTTAAATCTCCATATCTCTCCATCTCCAACTACCTGGAGGTTGTTTACCCTGCTGCTCAGAGGCCTTTAAAACCCCACCCCAATGTGAACTTTGTGGACTTGTTTGAGAACAGCCAAAAGGCCCTGACGTGTGCTCCTCTTGTTTGCTGTCTGTTACCCAGACATCAATGTGGTCATACAACACACACACACGCGCCACTTTAGCTGCTTAGCTAGAGCAGACATTAGTGTATAGGTCTTAAAGGTGCGGTGTGCGGAAATCACTCCACCATTTCCTGGTTGCTAAAATTCGAATAGTTCGCCTAATTTCAGTTTGTGACAAAACAAGCAAGTATAGAGAATCATTGTTCCATCTAAACTGCTGTGAAAAATATTTTCAATAACCACAAATATGGTATTTTCAGCTGTTTGAAGCTGGTGTACAAAACCGAAAGCAAAAGACGCAAGAACGGGAAGCATAGAAATACAGCACATAGAACAGTTCTACTGCTTCTTAGACTTGCTTTCAATGAGAATGACAGATCACATTTCTATGTGAAATTGGTCAGGTCACCCAAAAAGTTACATATTGCAGCTTTTAAAAAATCAAATATGCTCTGCTCTCCCCACTCCACTAGAGAACCATGCCAGCCATTCAGTCAAAGCCCTGCAGGCCTGTTCATGCTGCCTCTTCAAGTGCCCTCGTATGTGTAAAGCACACAACTGGCAACCACCATAGCATTCTGTTAACAATGTCTGAGGAGGCGAGGGAAGATGCTCTTTCTCTGTTACAACCAGAGTTTTTCCTGGCCAGACCAAGTGGTCAGGGAAAACTTGTCCCTTCATAGGAAAATATGAAATAAGTGCTATGTCTGCTAGGTGGTTTTTTTCTCTCCATCTTGTATGTGATGTTAAGATTTGAACATGGATCCTAACACATCTCCCTCTCTCTGTAGGGGACATGGGGGTAGGGAAGTCATGTTTGCTTCACCAGTTCACAGAGAAGAAATGTAAGTACATCCCTGGCTCCCCACTGACTCCAGACAGATACACACACACAGGCTGCAGGAATGGAGTGTCTAACTCTAAATCCTCTCTGATGACTTCAGCTCATTGAGAGAGGGGGAGAGCGAGGGTGTGGGTGTGGGTGTGTGACTGCGTGCCTCTGTGAAATGTGTCTGCTTCATGTTATTTGTGTGTGCTCTCTCTCAGCTGTAGCCTCAGTCACTTCACTATAACACCCAGGCTTTTGAATGCTTTTTAATTGCATTATTAGCAGGCAGCAGTAAATGCAGATGCTCTGCTCCTCATTCATCTATCTAGCATCACATCCTGCATGGACTATAGACTTGGGCTCTGAACAGGCAGCTGCTTTGTGAGTGCTGAATGCCAGGTTTGAAGACTTCCTCCCTGTCTCTGGTTAACATTGAAATGCAAGTGGTAAAAACCAACTGATCTGCCAGTCTGAAATTGATACTCAACCCACCTGCTCTCTCTGTTCCCTCACAATGGAGGTGATGAAGAGTGCACCTGTTTTCTCTGTGTGGTTGGATGTGCCTGTGTGGAGAGATGTGTATGTATATGGGTGCTGTTCATAGTTCAAGTTGGTGCTAGCGTTGTCACTGGCAGACTGTTCTGTATGGTAGTTGAGAGATTGAGCAGAGGAAGGAGGAGGTGTAGTTACAGTAAATGGAGTAGAGAGCAGGTTAATCACAGCAGTCTAATCTAATCACACTCCGAGGAGGAGGAGGAAAAGGGAGAGCGAGAAAGAAAGGGAGGCAGGCTGCGGAAGTGTGTTAGGTTTACTGAGTCAGACCTCCTTGATGAGAGATGTAGTCAGAGAAGAAGAGGCGAAGCAAGAGGTTTCACCAATGCGTTTCTATGGGCTTATTTTGGACCTAAGCTTGTCTCCTGCCTTTGGGAAAACGACTCCCATTGTTAGAGCGGAGACATGAGCATCTTGTCATTATATACAGATCTCATGTCTCTTGACAAAGAAGTGAAAATACTATTTTAATTGATTTCTTTGTGTTTTAGAGGAATGTTGCCTCCTGGGATTCCGCACAGCTATACTAACGATATATGCCTTTTCCCCACCTCTCTCTGCTCAAGTCATGGCAGACTGCCCCCATACGATCGGCGTGGAGTTTGGCACGAGGATAATCGAGGTGAGCGGCCAGAAGATCAAGCTGCAGATCTGGGACACGGCGGGCCAGGAGCGCTTCAGGGCTGTCACGCGTAGTTACTACAGGGGGGCCGCAGGCGCACTCATGGTCTACGACATCACCAGGTACACACACACACACACACACACACACACACACACACACACACCGATGTGCCCAAACTTTGAAGCTCCAGGTAGAAGCAGCCTGTAGGCACAGAGCTAGGGTCAAATTACCCTTCCCCAATCCTAACTCAAACCATACAGGGGAAAACACAAAACTGGCCTCAGATAAGCATCTAGGGCCAACTTCATCCTTCTCTCACCTAGCCCCCTCAGCCTGTTCTATGATACACCACCCACCCTGTTAGCTGTACTAGTCAGATTGCTCTAGGTCTGTAGGCCTATATGTCTGTGTGGGAGACAAGGAAAGGAAATGGGGCAGATAGCATAAAGTCTTCCTGAGCAAACATGGTGTCTGCATCCTGTTGCCCTCCCCACCTCCCTCTCTTCCCCAAACTGTGAGATTGTATCAGTGGCCTGCTAAACTAACAGTGCTTTACATGTGGAATGTCTGTCTCCTCCCATAGAAAGCACAGGCTCAGAGTAAAGCTTTAAGTATTGCAGCCATTCTAAATTGTAGTTTTCCCACTAATAGTAATTGGTGTCTATGCAGCATATCATTGCCTCTGTTTTATGAATAGGTATTCGATTGCTCATTTGTTCCCTAGCCTAATTTTAGCGCTCCATATTGACACCCGTGTCTCAGACTGTAAGAACTGTTGTCAAAACTGAAGAAAGTTTTTTTTCTATTAGTGAAAGAATATAGATACAGACCAAGAAACATTTCTCCATTTGTCACGGCCGCTCCTTTGATCCCACTTAGGATGTGGCACACTCTGTTTTGTCCCAGCCTGCCGCCATGGTAACTAACGCCCACTCTTCCCTGTATGTGTGTTCCACAGGAGAAGTACATACAACCACCTCAGCAGCTGGCTGACTGATGCCAGAAATCTCACCAACCCCAATACTGTGAGTATGGCTTCACGCTGCTCCCCTCTAGCTGCCTGTCTGACTCTCTAACACACTGTCTGCTTGGATGTCTATTGTACTACCAAGTAGTCTCCCTGTCCTCTTTCTCGCTTCTCTCCTTTTCTTGTGTTCTCTCATCTAATGCTCTTTGTGTCTCTGCTGTGTCCCACCGCAGCACACCCAGTGTGTTTGATTGATCCCCGAGAGCCCCGTCCATCTCTAAATTGGATTTTGACTAATATGATTATGGCCAAATCACACTGCTTTCATGTACAGAGTAGAATATGCTTTTAGCTTGCTTATACAAAGGCAACATCCTAAACTCACTCAAAGTCAGCTTGTTTGTACTCAACGACAACAGTCTCGCGTTGGAAAATGGGACATAACTAGTGCCCAGGTGCATTGGAAGTTGTATATTCATATCTGTATCTTTCATGGTGTGTAGCCGATACAGTATTGCTGAATCCATTTCTCCCACTGGTACTAAGTTCTATAAGAGCTCTCTTACAAGATGCTCAGTAAAGTGAGCGAGCTGTCTCGTATGTCGTTTTCTGCCTATAAGTGAATGAGTAGTGAGGATGTGAGTTTAGTGCCTGCCAGGCTGCTACTGTTTGGTGCCTGGAGTACTGACCGACTCATTCTGTCCTCCCCCAGGTGATCATTCTCATAGGTAACAAAGCAGATCTGGAGGCCCAGAGGGACGTCACGTATGAGGAGGCCAAGCAGTTCGCTGAGGAGAACGGTGAGACAGGGAACACCCTCAGGCTCAATGAGAGAGATGGAGGGAGATGGAAGAGGACTAACTCGCATCAATCTCTGCCTCTCACTATTCCACCTTATCTGAACGGCTGTGTGAGAATGCCCCCAGGGCCCCACACCGTTGACTGGAAGGGAGAGTGGGAGGGATGTGAGGAAGATACTCCTCCATATAGGGAGGGAAGTAGCAACTCGTCTCTGATAAAGAGGGAGAAAGAGAGGTGAAAGAGGAGTAAATGGCGCATGCATTCAAGTACAGAGGGAGAGTACAAAAGAGGTGAACGCATAAGGGAGGACGCATTCATAGATACACTATATATACAAAAGTATGTGGACACCCCTTCAAATTAGTGGATTTGGCTATTTCAGCCACACCCGTTCCTGACAGGTGTATAAAATTGAGCGCACAGACATGCAATATCCATAGACAAACATTGGCAGTAGAATCATAGGATGCCACCTTTCCAACAAGTCAGTAAGTCAAATTTCTGCCCTGCTAGTGCCGTTATTGTGAAGTGGAAACGTCTAGGAGCAACAATGGCTCAGCTGTGAAGTGGTAGGCAACACAAGCTCACAGAACGGGACCGCCGAGTGCTGAAGTGCGTAGTGCGTAAAAATCGCCTGTCCTCTGTTACAATAATCAATCAAATGTATTTATAAAGCCATTTTTATATCAGCAGATATAAATACAGAAACCCAGCCTAAAACCCCAAACAGCAAGCAATGCAGATGTAGAAGCACGGTGGCTAGGAAAAACTCCCTAGAAAGGCAGGAACCTAGGAAGAAACCTAGAGAGGAACCAGGCTCTGAGGGGTGGCCAGTCCTCTTCTGGCTGTGCCGGGTGGAGATTATAAGAGTACATGGCCATTAAGGCCAGATTGTTCTTCAAACGTTCATAGATGACCAGCAGGGTCAAATAATAATCACAGTGGTTGTAGAGGGTGCAACAGGTCAGTACCTCAGGAGTAAAAGTTAGTTGGCTTTTCATAGCCGAGCATTCAGAGGTCGAGACAGCAGGTGCGGTAGAGAGAGTCGAAAACAGCAGGTCCGGGACAAGGTAGCACGTCCGGTGAAACAGGTCAGGGTTCCATAGCTGCAGGCAGAACAGTTGAAACTGGAGCAGCAGCACAACCATTACCGAGTTCCAAACTGCTTCTGGAAGCAATGTCGCCGCAATAACTGTTTGTCGGGAGCTTCATGAAATGGGTTTCCATGGCTGAGCAGCCGCACGCAAGCCTAAGATCACCATGTGCAATGCCAAGCGTTGGCTGGAGTGGTGTAAAGCTTGCTGCCATTGGACTCTGGAGCAGTGGAAACGCGTTCTCTGAAATGATGAATCACACTTCACCATCTGGCAGTCCAACGGACAAATCTGGGTTTGGCGGATGCCAGGAGAATGCTACCTGCCCCAATGCATAGTGCCAACTGTAAAGTTTGGTGGAGGAGGAATAATGGTCTGGGGCTGTTTCTCATGGTTCGGGCTAGGCCCCATAGTTCCAGTGAAGGGAAATCTTAATGCTACAGCATACAATGACATTCTAGACGATTCTGTGCTTCCAACTTTGTCGCAACAGTTTGGGGAAGGCCTTTTTCTGTTTAAGCATGACAATGCCCCCGTGCACAAAGCGAGGTCTGTACAGCAATGGTTTGTTGAGATCGGCGTGGAAGAACTTGACTGGCCTGCACAGGGCCCTGACCTCAACCCCATCAAAAACCTTTGGGATGAATTGGAACGTCGACTGCGGGCCTAATCGCCCAACATCCGTGCCCGACCTCACTAATGCTCTTGTGGCTGAATGGAAGCAAGTCCCCGCAGCAATGTTCCAACATCTAGTGGAACGCCTTCCCAGAAGAGAGGAGGCTGTTATAGCAGCAAAGGGGGGGGACCAACTCCATATTAATGCCCATGGTTTTGGAATGTTTGACGAGGAGGTGTCCACATACTTTTGGTCATGTAATGTAAGTATAGGCAAGGGTGCAACTTTGGTTTTAGAAAATGGGGGGGGGGGATTAAAAAATAATAATAATCCAGTCGGATAAACACTCCAAACAGCCTACCCGACCACTAGGAGGCATCCGCATGGTCCTAAAGCACACCGTTGTCTCGTTTTGTATCACATTCCAATGATAAAACTGGGGGGGACAAAAATGCAATTTCAGAATGTGGGGGGGACATGTCCCCAGTGAAAGTTGAGCCCCTTAGTATAGGTATGAGTAAGGAGGATGGTTAGGGAACTGTATTTTTCCTCTGCAGTAGTCTGACTCCATCTTGTGTCCATCCCTTGTTACAGGTCTCTTATTCCTGGAAGCCAGCGCAAAAACGTAAGGCGGCGGGACTGCCTGCTTTTACCTCGCATTTTCAATGGTCTGAAATGTGCTTTGATGTGTTCCTAGCTCTGTGTGACTGACTGTGTGTGTCCTCTGCCCAGGGGTGAGAACGTGGAGGATGCTTTCCTGGAGGCGGCTAAGAAGATCTACCAGAACATCCAGGATGGTAGTCTGGACCTGAATGCTGCAGAGTCTGGTGTCCAGCACAAGCCCTCCGCCCCCCAGGGAGGCCGGCTAATAACCAACGAACCACAGCCCCAGAGGGAAGGCTGCGGCTGCTAATGACCAACTCCTCTCTCGCTCTTCTTCTCCTCCTCCACCCCCCTCTCGCTCTCCTCATCCTCCCTCCATCACCCCCACCCCACCGGGGCTGCATGAGTGTGGGGCACGGGTGGAGGGAGGGAACGAGGGATGGGCTGGCCTAGGCTGGGTTGTGTAGTAGTGTACCTCCCTCCTCCTCCCATTCCATCCTCCTCCCCCTTTTCACTTTGTCTTCTTCTTCACTTCTCTCTCGTTCCGTCTCTCCTTCTCTTCCTCTGCCCCATTCAGTCCAGCTCATCTGCCATGGAATCCCAGTTCCACACACATTTAACATATATATAAAGACGTGGGTTACTGACACAGATGGGTAATGTTCATAACAAAACCAGAATAAATACTTTTTTAACGTTTCCTTTTATAGCTTCTACCATACTATATACACCGATCAAGTCTCATCCACCACATCCGAAACCAACCAAGCCTGTATAGTCGATAACTGCCATTGACGTTGAACTGTCCAGACAGTCTCCCCTGCATCAGTCCTGCATGGTTTAATGATCTAGGACTGTTTTAAACTGAAATGACGTGTAGGATTCTAATTTTCCCTCGATGGTCAGGGCTCTCCCAGTCGAGGAGATGGTTAGTGAAGGCAATGATGTATGACGCAGCCCCGCAACTGGTCGCTATCGGCGGTGGCAGGTGTCTGAGTGTGTGTCTGAGTGAGAGAGTGTGTGTGTGCGCGTTTGGTCCAGTTGTTGAACAGGGTCTAGAGCAGTCTCCAGCCAAAGCTTTCCCCCTGGTCCTTATGGTAAAGCTCTGATACTAGACAGATATTGAATCCCTCTGATGGTGTCCTACAGTATAGTACACCTCAGTGTGGCAACACTAGTGTAGTAGAGAGACTCTTTTAAAGGCCAAGAGATGTGGAATTCCCCAGAAACTCCTCTACCTACTTGTCTCTATATGACATCACAGGAAAGGCTCTGGGTATGTGTGGTCAGGAGGTGGGGCGGGGATTTATTTGACTAAGTTAATGACACTTAAAAAAACAAGATGAGAAGTTTTATTTTATGGGAAGGATTCTTTCAGATCATCAGTTTCATTGCACCCCCCCCCCCCCCACCCCTCTCCAATAACAATTGAATCTCTGTCCTTACCAGCATTTTCTTTGTTGTTGTTTGCCTTATTATGATTTAATGTTAATATTATTAGTGTTTAATATTTTATTTGCTGCGCTTGCTTTACATACTGCTGTCAAATAAATAGTTTTACTCTTTGGTGATATTGTAGTGGAGAACATGGGAACTGGTTTAACAATGAGGAAAAGACTGAGGTAGAAGTAAACCCATAAGTCCAGAATCAGCTTACCATACGCCAATCCTTACTTTAACTATGAGGTGAGGAATTCAAACTGACCCCAGATCAACGCTAAGGGTCATCTTAACCCTACACCTGTGGTGCAGACAGGTCTATCTCTCCAGCCCGCCCTCCCCATAGGCTTGTATAGTTACAAGACCAAGCAGCACACCCCATCAAAACAGCCCTAAATGGGATGAGTTTGTCTGAATTTTTCCAAACTCACTTTCTGTACCATAGAATAATTCCCCCAATTCAGCAGCTGTATATATAGCTTATATATGTTGGTGACCATGCTACTTTGAGGATAGACAAACCATGCTGGCTTCGTAGAGATCTGTACAGTTGTGTTTGTGGGATGCTTGTATTTCATGCTTGGGAATTCTGTAACATAGTTTCTATGAATAAATGTGTATGGACAGACTTCCTCTACTCACTAGTGATACCTGGTGGTTCCATCTTTTGTTTCTTCACTCTCTGTTTCTCCTCAGTCTCTGGGTAGAGGGAAAATGTTCAGACTAGTACTTTGTCTTGCAAGCATTGTCGATTCCTCTTAACTCTTGTTTTTAGGAGGTGGTGGAGAATGTGTCCACTTTTCTTTGGGGGGGGGGGTTATTCTTCTCTACATGTTGTATTGGAGGGGCCTGTGTTGCTGTCTTAATTTTGTGGAGTTGGGATTGGCTGCAGGGGCTATTTTAATGGCTCCTCCTTGTGCTGTGTCCCACCTCTTTGCTATCGGAGTGACCACTTTCTGCTTTGTCTGTCCACATGAGTTAAAACGTACATATTGTATAAATTTTTAAGGAGCTGTGCTAACATTTTAAATGCGTTCTTGCATGTGTATGATTAAGATGTTGACATTTTGATTTCAATGACGATAAAATGCTCTAGACAAAAATACATTATACATAACCCGTTGTACTGCTTGCGTCATTCGTCACATTGTCCATGGACAATCACACACTTCCACCAATGTTGTGCATGTAGAAATGCAAGTCAAGTAAAAACAGAGGACATTGATGGGTTTCAAGTAGCAAATTGATTTGTATTTTAATGTTACAAAATTGCACCAAGGTTACAGGGAGAACCAAATGAGGAAAAATAACTATTTACAAAGGAGAACAAAATTAGTCTACAAAATGTTGAGGTGGCTTGGATACAAAAAACAAATAATTAGTGGCATGATTTTTATGTGAGGAATAAAACAAACAAGGAGTCAATATTGAACAGTACCGTGTTGAAATAAAGGCAGCTTGTGGTTGATTTCATCCTCAGGCATCGCAGTCAGACAGGGCAAAAGTGTGGGGAACAGCACATTTAATACTGAAAACAAATGCATTATTTCAATGAGAAGTAGAAAAAAACACTAAGGAACATCCTAGTCACCCCCTGACTACACAGTGGAATTTCATTTTGGTAAGTAATAACTCATATTCAATGGTCATTTCTCGTAAGACAAAGTGATACGTGTCCTCCGTACATTAAAACAAGCCATCCAACTCCAGAAGGCTTTTGTGAGGTTTGTGAAAGGTGTGGCACATCTTGATAACATCATACAATGGTTAGTCAGAGGACATGATGAAAACAACATTCAGATCCATGGAGTTTAGTTGGTCTCCTGGTCCTTCTCCAGGATGGAATATGACAGTCTGAAGACACATTACTATTTGTAAGGCCATATTGCTCTGTTTTTAGTTTGGCTTTGGGGAATTACATTGTAATTCTACTGATAGTGTTAAGGCACTTTTCAGATATTGTGCAGACGCAAAATGTTCCGAGATGGTCTTCTTTCCTCTACGGCACAGCGCTGCAATACTGCTACTAGCATCCATTCAAACGCAATACTGACAGTCATACGACAGTCGCACATCTTTACCATTCATATCATCACATCAGAGATTGGCCGAGAAGAGCGATGCAGCAAGCTAAGGAGGAAAAAGATACAGTAGATGAAGTGGCTACCAAAAGGAGGTGTAGACACACAATGTGCACTTCCCATTGTAAACCACTGACAGTAAAGGAAAGAATGTGACATGCGTTTTGTCTATAGTGTCATAAAAAAAAGAAGACGATCATTTAGACAATGATTGATGAAAAAGTCACGTGATGCAGATTTGGGCCCAGGACTCCCTGGTTAAGGCCAAATTTTACTTGCATTCATAGTTAAGGCTTTTGACATGAGGAAAAACTCATAGAACTTCTGAATAAAGGTTCCTTTGATTCTGAGCACAGTAACGAGTAACCACAGTCTTTAGTGTTTGAAGTGTCCTCCGACCTCCTATAAGGCTGCATAGTCTTTCTCTGAGGTGTGCATCATGCTTAAACCGTCCAGTGGAACTATAGCACGTCCTGCCCTCCACCTCAACATGAGTTCAGCATGACCACGGTAGAGGAGCCACGACCATGGGACATTACATGCAGCGAGAGAGAGGGGGAGGTTAGGTTCATTAAGATTCAGCTTTTTATCCCAGTCAATGTGGCCTCCTCTCCGCTACCTCTGAACGATGTCACTGATCTCTTTGACAGACGAGAGCAGCTTGCTGAAGTCCTGCTGCGCTCCGCTGGTGCCCCCGGTGGCAGCAGGGCAGATCTGCAGCTCGCGCAGGCTGCTCTCCAGCTTGTTGATGGCCTCGCGGAAGGCAAACTTGTTCCTCATCTGCTGGATGGACTCCACGTAGCTGACGCAGTACTTGGACAGGTTCTTGCCTGCCTCCAGCACGGCACTGTGGCTGCCTGTCTGCTCAGAGTTGCGGCCGATGGCGGCGCGCAGCAGCTCCATGCCCTCCAGGACCATTTCCCTGGTGATGGCCGAGTTGGGTTGGCGCTCCGGGGGCGCACGTGTCTTCCTCAGGGAGCGGCGGGTGTTCATGAGGGGGATAAAGGCTGTGGGAGAGGCCTGGTCTCCTGGGGAGGTGAGGGAGGAGAAGCCCAGGGGACTGGAGGTGGAGCCAGACACTGAAGAGGACGAGGAGGATGTCTTTAATTGCTGTGGTTTGGAGGAGGTGGTGCTGAGGGTGGGTTTCTTGTGGGCCTCCAGGGGAGAGCGGGCTTGGTCACTGGGGCTGGATGGGTAGTGGGGGTCTGAGGCCTTGGCTTTGGCATCTGTGGGGGAGGGGAGCTCGTGAGTGGGGCTGCGGGAGATCTTGCCCGTCTTGGCGCTGGAGGGCGGGGGTGGAGGGGGAGCAGGCTTGGGCTTCTGGAACTTGCCTCTCTCCCTGGGGCCGGAGGAGTCCAGGTTGGGTTTGTGGCGGCGTGCCCTGCACTCGTCCCCAGCTGCCCCCAAAGCAGGAAACACGTTGGGCTTGAGCAGCTCGGCCTGCAGGGCGCTGGTCTTGGAGTTGTCCACCCCCAGCCCTAGAAGCCTTCTGCTAAGCTTGGGCGTCAGGGTCTGGAGGCTGGGCTCAGCATCCTTAAACACCTCGTCCGACATGTCCTCTGTCTTCTTGGGCAGGCGGGGTGGGGGGGTTAGGGTGCCCATGCGAGGGGCGCTGATCTCTAGCTTCTCGTTGGCCCTCTTACGTGGCAGGGCGGGCTTGTCCCCGAAGGTGCCCGAGTCAAAGTGGCCTTTGTGCAGGTCGCGTGGCAGCGTGACTGACTTCCACTCAGTGCGCTCCGAGCCCGGGGGCATGCTAGAGGCCGAGGAGGAGCGCAGGAAACGCTTGGAGTTAGACACTATATCCTCTTCACTGGGTGGGGTGGTGGCTGTTTTACCGACTACACTGGGCACCACCAGCGTACCTTTCTTCCTGGCATGATGCGGGGGGAACAGGGGGCCCGGGTAGGTGGGGCCCCCGTTGGTAATACCCCCTACCCCGTTGTTGTTAGTGCTCGGGAACTTGCTGGGGTCGATGGTATGTGTATCACTGAAGGCTATGGAGACGTTGTTGAAGTCGTCTCGTTGGTCGGGCGCTAGCCTCAGTCTCTCTGCGTGTCCGTCCATCTCCCTGAAAGAGCTGCTGCGTTTGGGCGGGGCGGGCGCCGTCTTCTTCTTCTTCTTGATGAGGTTGAAGAGGCTGTTCCGGGACTTGTCCTTGTCTTTGGGCAGGAGGCGGTCGTCCTCATTCAGGTTGCTGTCCAGGAACGGACGCTCTTTCCTGGGGAGCATGGGGGACACGGCCACCTCCGGCTCCACAGCGTCTGGGTGAACACACAGATATGCAAATCATCAGTTGTTTGAGTAACACTCAACACAGAAAAATCATCAGAAGACAATGTAGTAGAAGAAAGACAAATTGTCCCAATGATGTTTTGGCATCTGTTAAATATGGGTTGCATCCACTTTAGGGTGCAGTGCATTGGGACGAGGGGTAGGTGAGTCTCACCAGGGCTGTCTCCGTCTCTGTCCACGTTCCTACGGAGGGTCCTGGTCTTGGTGGGCAGCTGTGGAGCCTGTTGGATGGGGGCCAGTGTCACCTTCTTCCCTTTCTTCCCCAGCTCCTTCTCCACCTCTGTCACATAATACACACACACAAACATCAGAGACTGTATTAACCTACTACTTCCTCTGATAACCCTTAAACTACTCTGAAGTACAGCACCTGGAAAACAGATGGCAAACTAACTCTTCTAAACTGAAATGGTAATGACCCAAATCTCTCGATCCGATTTTTTTGCAACTCTAGCACAAAACCTACAGCTACAGTGAGGGGAAAAAGTATTTGATCCCCTGCTGATTTTGTACGTTTGCCCACTGACAAAGAAATGATCTGTCTATAATTTTAATGGTAGGTTTATTTGAACAGTGAGAGACAGAATAACAACAAATAAATCCAGAAAAACGCATATCAAAAATGTTATAAATTGATTTGCATTTTAATGAGGGAAATAAGTATTTGACCCACTCTCAATCAGAAAGATTTCTGGCTCCCAGGTGTCTTTTATACAGGTAACGAGCTGAGATTAGGAGCACACTCTTAATGGGAGTGCTCCTAATCTCAGTTTGTTACCTGTATAAAAGACACCTGTCCACAGAAGCAATCAATCAATCAGATTCCAAACTCTCCACCATGGCCAAGACCAAAGAGCTCTCCAAGGATGTCAGGGACAAGGCTGGAATGGGCTACAAGACCATCGCCAAGCAGCTTGGTGAGAAGGTGACAACAGTTGGTGCGATTATTCGCAAATGGAAGAAACACAAAAGAACTGTCAATCTCCCTCGGCCTGGGGCTCCATGCAAGATCTCACCTCGTGGAGTTGCAATGAGAATGGTGAAGAATCAGCCCAGAACTACACGGGAGGATCTTGAAAATGATCTCAAGGCAGCTGGGACCATAGTCACCAAGAAAACAATTGGTAACACACTACGCCGTGAAGGACTGAAATCCTGCAGCGCCCGCAAGGTCCCCCTGCTCAAGAAAGCACATATACAGGGCCGTCTGAAGTTTGCCAATTAACATCTGAATGATTCAGAGGAGAACTGGGTGAAAGTGTTGTGGTCAGATGAGACCAAAATCGAGCTCTTTGGCATCAACTCAACTCGCCGTGTTTGGAGGAGGAGGAATGCTGCCTATGACCCCAAGAACACCATCCCCACCGTCAAACATGGAGGTGGAAACATTATGCTTTGGGGGTGTTTTTCTGCTAAGGGGACAGGACAACTTCACTGCATCAAAGGGACGATGGACGGGGCCATGTACCGTCAAATCTTGGGTGAGAACCTCCTTCCCTCAGCCAGGGCATTGAAAATTGGTCATGGATGGGTATTCCAGCATGACAATGACCCAAAACACACGGCCAAGGCAACAAAGGAGTGGCTCAAGAAGAAGCACATTAAGGTCCTGGAGTGGCCTAGCCAGTCTCCAGAACTTAATCCCAATCTGTAGAGGGAGCTGAAGGTTTGAGTTGCCAAACGTCAGCCTCGAAACCTTAATGACTTGGAGAAGATCTGCAAAGAGGAGTGGAACAAAATCCCTCCTGAGATGTGTGCAAACCTGGAGGCCAACTACAAGAAACGTCTGACCTCTGTGATTGCCAACAAGGGTTTTGCCACCAAGTACTAAGTCATGTTTTGCAGAGGGGTCAAATACTTATTTCCCTCATTAAAATGCAAATCAATTTCTAACATTTTTGACATGCTTTTTTCTGGAATCTTTTGTTGTTATTCTGTCTCTCACTGTTCAAATAAACCTACCATTAAAATTATAGACTGATCATGTCTTTGTCAGTGGGCAAACGTACAAAATCAGCAGGGGATCAAATACTTTTTTCCCTCACTGTAATACCTCAAATGGAAGTTGTAGTTGCGGTCTTCAATTCAGATATAACGTGTGTAATTGTGACGAGACGGGTGTTCTCACCGTCAGAAATGCTGGACTCCTGAAACATGGTCTCAAAGGCCTGGTGGGTCTCTGCAAAGGAGGGCCGTTCCGCAGGGTTCCACTTCCAGCCTGGGAGAGGAGAGAATAGGAAATTGGTCATGTCTAGAAGGGATACAGCTTATGTTAAATTAAGTCAAAAGTAGATTTTTTTTGGTGGATTTTAGCTAACCCTTTCCCTAAACTTAACCTAATTATCCTAACCTGCTACGTTAATTATCTTAATCTGCTGCAAAAGCTGTATCCCTTCTAGACCAAACCCAGGAAATTAGGTTTGGTACCAGTCAAAAAAACAGTGTGCATGATTTGAATGTGTCTTGTTATTTTACTTCTTTTTTTACTGACTGGTTAAGCCAGGCTGTGCCATAGACCGATGAAAACCGAGTGTACAAAACATTAGGCACCCCCTTTTGCCCTCAGAACAGCCTCACATCGTTGGGGCATGGACTACAAGGTGTCGACAGCGTTCCACAGGGATGCTGGCCCATGTTGACTCCAATGCTTCCCACAGTTGTGTCAAGTTGGCTGGATGTCCTTTGGGTGATGGACCATTCTTGATACACATGGGAAACTGTTGAGTGTGAAAAACCCAGCAGCGTTGCAGTTTCTAATACACTCAAACCGGTGCGCCCTAGCACCTACTACCATACCCCTTTCAAAGGCACTTAAATCTTAAAATCTTCACCCTCTGAATGGAATTTACATTTTAGTCATTTAGCAGACGCTCTTATCCAGAGCAACTTACAGTAGTGAATGCATACATTTTCATACTTTTCATACCCTGGCGTTGCGAGCGCCATGCTCTACCAACTGAGCCACACGGGACCCATACACAATCTACGTCTCAATTGTCTCAAGGCTTAAAGATCCTTATTTAATCTGTCTCCTCCCCTTAATCTACACTGATTTAAGTGGATTTAACAAGAAACATCAATATGGGATCATAGCTTTCACCTGGATTCACCTGGTCAGTCTATGTCATGGAAAGAGCAAGGTTCCTAATGTTTTGTACACTCAGTGTATGTGTACTCACACGCCCTCATGAGCTGGTAGACCTTCTCTGGGCAGCCCTCCGGCCGGTCCATGCGGTAGTCCTTCTCTAGGAGCTCATACACCTGGGAGAGGTCTATGCCAGGGTACGGAGACATCCCATAGGTGGCGATCTCCCATAGCAACACTCCGAACGCTGGGAGTTTGGGATGAAGTACAGAGATGAGTCCATTATTATTAATGACATTGTAATCATAAATGGTATACACTGAACAAAAATATAAACGCAACATTTTACTGAGTTACATTTCATATAAGGAAGTCAGTCAATTTAAATAAATAAATTAGGCCTAGAGTTGATCAGGCTGTTGATTGTGGCCTGTGGAATGTTGGCCCACTCCTCTTTAATGGCTGTGCGAAGTTGCTGGATATTGGCTGGAACTGGAACACGCTGTCGTACACGTCGTTCCAGAGCACCCCAAACATGCTGAATGGGTGACATTGTCTGGTGAGTATGCAGGCCATGGAAGAACTGGAACATTTTCAGCTTCCAGGAATTGTGTACAGATCCTTTCAACATGGGGCCATGCATTATCATGCTGAAACATGAGGTGATGGCGGAGGATGAATGGCACGACAATGGGCCTCAGGATCTCGTCACGGTATGTCTGTGCATTCAAATTGCCATCGATAAAATGCAATTGTGTTCCTTGTCTGTAGCTTATGCCTGCCCATACCATAACCCCAACGCCACCATGGGGCACTCTGTTCACAACGTTGACATCAGCAAACCGCTTGCCCACACGACGCCATACACGCTGTCTGCCATCTTCCCGGTACAGTTGAAACAGGGATTCATCCGTGAAGAGCACACGTGGCAGTGGCCATCGAAGGTGAGCATTTGCCCACTGAAGTCGGTTATGACGCCGAACTGCAGTCAGGTCAAGACCCTTGTGAGGACGACGAGCACGCAGATGAGCTTCCCTGAGATGTCTTCTGACAGTTTGTGCAGAAATTCTTTGGTTATGCAAAACCACAGTTTCATCACCTGTCCGGGTGGCTGGTCTCAGACGATCCCGCAGGTGAAGTTGGATGTGGAGGTCCTGGCTTGGTGTGGTTACACGTGGCCTGCAGTTGTGAGGCCGGTTGGACGTACTGCCAAATTCTCTAAAACAACGTTGAATGAACATTCAATTCTCTGGTGGACATTCCTGCAGTCAGCATGCCAATTACACACTCCCTCAAAACTTGAGACATCTGTGGCATTGTGTTGTGTGACAAAACTGCACATTTTAGTGGCCTTTTATTATCCCCAGCACAAGGTGCACCTGTGTAATGATCATGCTGTTTAATCAGCTTCTTGATATGCCATACCTTTCAGGTGGATGGATTAAATTGGCAAAGGAGAAATGCTCACTAACAAGGATGTAAACTAATTTGTGCACAACATTTTAGAGAAATAAGCTTTTTGTGCGTTTGGAAAATGTCTGGGATATTTTATTTTAGATCATGAAACATGGGACCAACACTTTACATGTGGTATTTATATTTTTGTTCAGTATAAGTCATTCTACATATCAGAAATACATTTGTCTGAGTTACTTTGTCATATCCAAACTCACCCCAGACGTCAGATTTGATGGAGAACTTGTTGTACGCCAGGCTCTCTGGGGCAGTCCACTTGATGGGGAACTTGGCCCCAGCGTGGGCCGTGTACGTGTCCCCCGTCATCAGCCTGCTCAGCCCAAAGTCTGCCACTTTCACCAGGTGGTTCTCCCCTACCAGACAGTTACGGGCTGCCAGGTCCCTGGAGCAAAGACAGGAGACAGAGGGGGCATGGCGTCAAAGGCAGCACTATGTATTTATTTTGGATGGCAATCTCTTCTAATATCCATGTCTTGAAGTGTTGGAGTTGTGTGCGCACTTGAGCAAGAAGCGGAGTCTCGACAAGCTTGACAATCGACGAGAGGATATAAATCATATCACCTTCTATCATAAAACATGCTGGGGCAAAGTCAATCTCACAGCAAAAGCACACATACAGCGCATTCTTAAAGTATTCAGACCACTTGACTTTTTCCACTTTCTTACGTTACAGCCTTATTCTAAAATGTATTAAATTAAAATGTTTCCTCATCAATCTACACACAATACCCCATAATGACAAAGCGAAAACAGTTTTTTTGAAATGTTTGCAAATCTATACAAAATGTTTTTATAATAATAACTTATTCAGACCCTTTGCTATGAGACTCAAAATTGAGCTCAGGTGGATCCTGTTTCCATTGATCATCCTTGAGATGTTTCTACAACTTGATTGGAGTCCACCTGTGGTAAATTCAATTGAATGGACATGATTTGGAAAGGCACACACCTGTCTATATAAGGTCCCACAGTTGACAGTGCATGTCAGAGCAAAAACCAAGCCATGAGGTCGAAGGAATTGTCTGTAGAGCTCCGAGACAGGATTGTGTCGAGGCACAGATCTGGGGAAGGGTACAAAAAAATGTCTGCAGCATTGAAGGTCCCCAAGAACACAGTGCCCTCCATCATTCTTAAATGGAAGTAATTTGGAACCACCAAGACTCTTCCTAGAGCTGGCCGTCCGGCCAAACTGAGCAATCAGGGGAGAAGGGCCTTGGACAGGGAGGTGACCAAAAACCCGATGGTCATTCTGACATAGCTCCAGAGTTCCTCTGTTGAGATGGGAGAACCTTCCAGAAGGACAACCATCTCTGCAGCACTCCACCAATCAGGCCTTTATGGTAGAGTGGCCAGACGGAAGCCACTCCTCAGTAAAAGGCACATGACTGCCCGCTTGGAGTTTGCCAAAAGCCACCTAAAGACTCTCAGACCATGAGAAACAATATTCTCTGGTCTGATGAAACCAAGATTGACCTCTTTTGCCTGAATAACAAGCATCATGTCTTGAGGAAACTTGGCACCATCCCTCCGGTAAAGCATGGTGGTGGCAGCATCATGCTATGGAGATGTTTTTCAGCGGCAGGGACTGGGAGACTAGTCAGGATCGTGGGAAAGATGAACAGAGCAAAGTACAGAGAGATCCTTGATGAAAACCTGCTCCAGAGCGTTCAGGACCTCAGACTGGGGCGAAGGTTCACCTTCCAACAGAACAACGACCCTAAGCACACAGCCAAGACAACGCAGGAGTGGCTTCGGGACAAGTCTCTGAATGTCCTTGAGTGGCCCAGCCTGAGCCCGGACTTGAACACGATCTCTGGAGAGACCTAACAGAGCTTGAGAGGATCTGCAGAGAAGAATGGAAGAAACTCCCCAAATACAGGTGTGCCAAGATTGTAGCGTCATACCCAAGAAGACTTGAGGCTGTAATCACTGCCAAAGGTGCTTCAACAAAGTACTGAGTAAAGGGTCCGAATACTTATGGAAATGTAATTTCAGTTTTTACATTTTTATAAATTTGCACACAAAAAAATGTTGAGGGGGGGAAAACAATTTAATCAATTTTAGAATAAGGCTATAACATAAGAAAATGTGGAAAAAGTCAAGGGGTCTGAATACTTTCCGAATGCACTGTATAATTTCTTTGTCTAGGTCGAGAAGAGGACAAGTGATGAAAGAGTGAGGAGCAGGAAAGATGAGTGAAGAAGGGGAAGAAATGGGAAGAGAGAGAGTGTCATGTCTCACCTGTGGATGAAGTTCTTCCTCTCCAGGTACTCCATGGCGGAGGAGATCTGCGTGGCCATGTGGAGCAGCACCACAGCGTTCACCTCCTCCCTGTTACACTCCCTCAGGTAGTCCAGCAGGTTGCCATGGGTCATGAACTCTGTGATGATGTAGAACGGAGGCTCCCGCGTGCACACGCCTGACAGAGAGAGAGGGACAAAGCTAGTTACAGCACTGACAATGGCAGTACAGAGTTGCTTTTCAGGAAGAGACAATTATAGGACATCTGCAACTGAAAAGTGTTGTTCCACAGTAACTCACCCAGTAGCTGTACCAGGTTGGGGTGTTTGATCTCCTTCATGACAGCAGCCTCCTTCAGGAACTCCTCCACCTCCATGGTGTCCTCCTGAGTGGGTGAGAACAGGACTAGAGGGTCAACCACACACATCAGGAGAAAATACATTCAAACAGATAGCTACATCTAGAGGCCATCGTTACATGTTTTCTACATGGAACTACCTATAGAAGCTTTACAATAAGTGTGTTTGCTCAGCAGATGTCTCTGTTCTACACCTATGTGCCACCAGGAGGTGGTATACTCAGCACGGTTTCCAGTCTCAGATCCCATCACGTCATCTGAAACCGCACTCTTATTTTCCATCTGCCTAACTAAGATTTCAGCAGCTAACAGACGATATTGACATTGTCATTAACTCATTCTGATGGTCCAATCTCACTCCCTGAACTCCCAACAAATCTCCCTGCGTACCTTGAGGGTCTTGACAGCCACAGTGAGGCTGTACTTCTTCCAGACCCCCTCGTAGACCTCGCCATACTGCCCTCCTCCCAGCTTGTGCTTCATGGTGATGTCAGTACGCTCCATCTCCCACTTGTCGTAGTTGGGTGACACGCCGTAGATGGTGGGCTTGTTGCGTTTGGGCGCTGGGTAGTGCAGCGTGGTGATGAGGCCGTCGGCCACCGTGGAGTGGTGGTGCACCAGCTCTGCCAGGGTGTTAAAACGACTCTCAGACGACACGTATAGCTGGAGAGAGGGAGATGCCGTTTTGAGTTTACATTGTATGACTGTTAATCCCATAACAGATTGTATGACTTAAACCCATAACAGTAAGGAGATTCAGAAAAACGAGTTGTGGGTTTAAATCCAGCTCCATATGCTGCAGCAAGTATGAACAATGCAGCAAAGAGGATAGATTCTTCTGTAAAATGAACCAACTGAACTGGCTGGATAATATGTGGAATAGCAGCAACACTCTCAAAAAGCATTGGGAGCAAGAAATGCACTTTCCAGCTGCAGACAATCTCTGGTGAGGGATCTTGGTCAAGGCTGACTGGACACAGTCTTTTCCATTGTCCATGTCTTACATAAGACCTCAGTCCCAGATCCTGTGTTCAGTGTGCTATGCATGGCCTGTTCCACTCTAGAAACATTTTGTAGTCTGCACATCTTCACAAATGGATGGCTTTTTATAGTTTAACAGAATGTAAATGGATATAATGTAGGTAGGTACTGACTGAGCAGATGGATAGTTAAAGAAAAACCTGAAAAGAGCAGCATCCGAAGGTCTTGAACAATGAAGAGACTAAAGCTCCAGCTTGAACACTTACGTAAGCAGGGCCTGTCTCTCAGGAACAATCATCCCAGCAGGGGATCTATTTCATTAACGCAGGAATCTGGGCTGATCAGAATACTGTTAATCACTCAATCTGTGTTGCGTGGGGTGATATGAGGAGTGTTCCACAGACAGGAGAGATGAGGTACAGATATTGGAAAAGTCTGCATTCCAGACGGCTGAATATAAGTACAGTGGGAGATAGTGGAACTGCAGGGGGTAGGGAGGGTGGGAGATTGAAAGTCTGTGTGTGCGTGTGTTAAAGTACGAGTGTGTGAGTCTGTGTGTGTGTGTGTGTGTGTGTGTGTGCTTGTGCTGGTCTGTCCTTGTCTGGTGGCTGCCGATCCACTCGCTCACCTCTGTGCAGTAAGGAATGCTGCAGTGGTTTACCTCAGCTGGCCGGACAGACAGCTGGGTCAAGAGAGGAGAGAAGACGGTTGGCAGACTGACTATCCTAATATTCATATATGGCTCCTTTCTCTGGCTCCTTTCTCTGTCTCCTTTCCTCATGACCACTATTAAGGGTTGGTGTAGCACACAAGCAGGGTGTGTCCTAATAGTAATATAAGGCCTCCTTTCCTTCAAGCTCCCTTCAAACTGAGGTAGACAGTACAGGCTTCTACAATGAAAGGTGATGATTATGATCGAGGTGAAAATATACTTGGTTGATACTGCACTATTGGGTCCTCATTTTTCCCACTGTCTGTATCTTCACCTGGATTTGGCCCCCAGCATCTTTCTGATACCTTTAGAGGTCAGCGGTCATGAAGGAGAGGAGAGGCCATTTTAGAGTGTTGGAACGTAGGCCTCTGACCTTAACCAGCTCCAGACCTGCCATGTCCAGACCTGCCATGTCCTCTCTAAATGAGCCTTTCCCAGAGGGGGTAGAATAAGCTGCTCTGTGGAGACCTCCACTAAAGCCCACTGACAGTCAGGCCACTTACAGCTGCCTCAGATAATCACTGTTAGCCAGAGAGAGAGATAAAACCACTGGCTGTTTAGAACTTGGGGACATAGTCTCTGGGGCACCATTTCATATAAAGATGTGCTGTGGTGATGTGATAGAATAGATGTTGGATGTTTGGGTGTGTACTGTCTGTGTGTACTGTCTGTGTGTACTGTCTGTGTGTACTGTCTATCCTCACCTTCCCGTCGGAGGCCGTGTTGATCCTGTAGTGGTAGACGCGTCCCTCGTAGCGCAGTGAGATGGACCTCTGCCCGGGGCTGCTCTCGCTCTCCCTGACCAGGAAGCTGCCGTTGATGCCCGAGCTGAGCAGGTACTCTGCTGCGTTGCGCGACACAGGCCCATGGTACCAGCTGTGCTTCTCCAGGCTGTTGACCGGAGTGATGTAATTACTGGGCACCCAGCCCTGGCCGTGGTTGGTCTGCGCCTCGCACCACTCCCCATTATGGTTGTAACCCAGGACTCGCAGCTTCTCTCCTGCACGGGGGACATGCCATTAGGGTGAAATCAGGGGAAACTACAGGGGGTATCTACAGTGAGACCTTATATGAGTATGGCAGGTGATGTACATAGACACCACTCCAAGTAGGCCTATATTTCAACTGCTACAGGATAAACTTCACATGTAAAAGAGACTTGCTATAGAATGGTTGCTTGCTATAAGTTACTAGTATAGTGACTATCCTCTCTATAAAGGTTATAGATTTGACACAGTTGAGGCTATGCTTACGAGGAGACTGTGCTAACTGTTTTTCCATTTGCGTCATAGACAAACATGAAAGTGTTGTTAGTCTGAGGTGACACTATGCCACATGCCCACTATTCTGAAACTGAGCTAGGCTGGTCAATCTTTGACTCAGGAATCCACTGTATCTAATACAATGTTTACTCAGATTGTGACACTAGGTTTCTTTCCGTTGGTCTTGAGGTTAGCAGGGTTGACATCACTGTCTGCTCCCAGTTTTAGACTTAAGTTTACATAGCGGCTCAGCATAAAACTACAATTCACAAAACGCTTTACTGCAAGTGTCAATAGCTGATAATATACTTATTTCTAAACTTTAAGATTAAATCTGTGACTCTGAATAAATTGGAAGAACTTTTCAATTTGGAGGCATGAAGCAAACCCAACCCCCTAAATGTTTCTTATAAATTAGATGACCAAATAAATTAGACGACCTTATTTAATATATTACATAACATGTTTTGGATCTGTATTTCCTAGTCCTTTAAAGTTTTCCTCTGCATCCCATCCTCCACGCTCTCTCTCCTGCAACTGCTGCATTGTTTTCCAGCTGCTCCAGTGGAAAGAACTTGCGTGTGAGCGGACAGCCAGGAAGTGAGCGTCATAGGGAGAGATAGGGAACGGGACGCAAATATGTGGATTTCCAGTCAGATACGTCACACTCGAAACCCTCCCCATCCCCCTGGGAGGGCACTGTACCCATCTCAGCACAGTCAGAAGTTTAAGGAAGAGGAGAACACTCATGCACACACACACACTCCGTCTGTCCTGTTTAACTGCTGCGACTGAGGGCCGTTTTGCACATTGACCCCATGACCAGTGACTGAGGCAGATCCCTGACCACAATATTCCCAGAGGGAGTATTTTCACAAAGCCTGATGCTCTCTGGGCTATGATGGACGGTTTTATTGTTAATCGTTTCAGAGCACAGATAAATGGTTTTCTGACGGCTGTCTGGATGGAAAATTAATGTACTCTCACAGAGATGGACTCACAGGGCAGAGCTGGGGGCCGTTCCATTTCATGTCACGTCATAGTAGTGAAACTCAATTCCTGAATTGACAAGAATTTTAAGATATTGATCCCAACTCCCACCGAGACAGAATCTCTCTGTCACCTCACACACACACACACACACACGATTCTCTTACCTTTAGTTATGCTGAGAGTGTTGTCCCCACTGGCCACAAAGTCATAGAGTGCAACAAACAGGTTGGGGTCATTCTCGCTGGGTCCGGACAAAAGATTTTCTTTGGAGTTCCAGCGGGCTGCTTCTGACAGACCCTGGGGCTCAAAGTCTGGTCTCTGGAGAGCTTCTGGAACATACAACAGACAGGTCCAACATTAGAACATGTCTTTATCTATTAAACAAGTGGACTTTGAGGAAAAGAGAGTCGCTCAGATCTGTGTAAAATAAACCAACAACAAATCAGGTGAATAGCCTTCCTATCACCTTGTCATAGAAACATAGCCTGGGTTCCAGTCTGTTTTGCTTTCATTCCCTGTCATGCTTAATGTCAAATTCATCAGGAGTTGGCAAGAGAGCAGAAACAGACTTGCACCCAGGCTAATACAGAGAAAGCAGAAAAAGAGAAAGCAATGCTTAATGTGCTGGCATTTCAGAACAGGTATTGTCACTGCTTCAGTCTATTCCATGGACACACACAGACACTAACACATTCACACCTGTATGTGTTCTTTTAAAAATATACTCCAGACTTCTGAGAACCTCCCCACGTCACATCGAAGGAACATTTCCCCTGGCCTGCACAGCTGCTGTGATTTGACTATGGTATTAAAGGCAGCAATATTAACTGAGATCTTTAATAAAAGGCCAGTCCAATAACATAGTCCATCTTTCCACTACCTGTACGTTTCATTTCCTGGAGTTCCAGGCTTTCCTTTCAATTTCAATACTTTGTTTTCAATAACAAGACTCTCCAATAAGAGTTGGCCCATCATTGTCTCTAATTTTGTAGTGAGAGGGGAAATTCGAGCTGCGTTAAACTTCCAATTAGGGCTGGAATAACAGGCACTTCAACCACAGATTATGCTCATTATACTCAAATAATGGGACTTTGAGAGGGCTTTGGATGCAACATCAAGGTTACCAGAACTGGAATGAGTTGCAGAGAGGAGAGGTGGAATACATAGAGAAGGAAAGAGAAAGGGAAAGAGATAGAAGAGGGAATTTGTATTGAAGCCCGGCTGGCCCACACAGTGACTTCATTGTGTGGCCAGCGTCGCTGTCAGCACACGTGTTTCAGCACCTTGCAGCTCTCAGACACTAGGACCAGGGAGAGGCATTTGATCATCTGCTGAGGCCATAGAGATACCAGAGAGAAAGGACAAAGCTATGGGTAGTAGGCTAGCCTACTGTTTGTGCAAAAATATTCAGTTCAAGAGAAAGGCATGCTGTGATATATTGAACCCTGGCAGAGCACTGATCCTTGACTGTTATGATTTTCATCTGTATCTTATGTCAAACCAACACCTTTTGTGTAGGTGATAAGTGTTGGGTGGTCAACTGAGCCCTGGCAGAGCAATCTGGTGAAATGCAGAGAGGTAGACTATTTGGTGATCTACTGTGGAGCCACATTACATGATGAGATCGACTGAGAGGGAGAAAGATGGGATAAATCCATGGTCACCACAAACAGCTGACAGTCTGGGCGCTGGACTCTAACTGGGCACATGACAGAGATTAGGGATGTGCATGATTAACATTCCTGAGGAGTCTGTGATAAGAGCATAGAGGCATCTGAACACTTTCTGCTCCCCAGCACTAGGACACTGGTAGAGCAGGGCTATTCAACCACGGGTTAGCACATTTTTTAAATATTTTTTTTTAAACAAAGAAAACCAATTATTGTTGGCAACAACAGAGTAAACACATTTTTAATTACATACCTAGAGTAGAAAAGAGGATAATCTTCTTTCTAATTATGTCAACTCCTAATATTGAGCAAATTACACTCACTGGCGTATCTGACATAGGCTTTGGAAAAAGTACTCGCGAATAGGCTACTTAGGCTTTCTTGACTTGGACATTTGTTTTTGTCAACACATGGCTAACCTTTGTTTAACCAGCTAATAGTGCTGAGCGATTAACAGTAATTTTAAAAAAAAAAATTGGGGGGGGGGGGGGGGGGTTATTAAACTACTAATTGACCGACGTCGGCCCAATTACTTGAATTCCATTTAGTTCTGTTTTTTTTTGTGAGCCCAACACGTAGTTGTCTCTAGAGCGAAATCAAATAATTCACGAAAGAAATCAAGTCAAGAGGACGCTGGGCTGAAGGGGGTTGTAGTTTTCATTAAGCAAATATTCAGTTCAGCGCAGAAACGTGGTAATTAACTACAATGACCATAATCCATTGCGCCAGTTTTACCTGGCTCAGACGGATCAGAGGGGAAAAGGAGAAGCGAGAGGTTTCACCAAAGATGTTCTAATTGTTCCATCTGTGGTTTCACTCTCGCCAAACTCTTCAAAATAAGCCCAATGCGTTTTTATGGGCTTACTTTGGACCTAAGCTTGTCGCCTGCCTTCCCGCCTTTAGGACAACGACTCCCATTAGGGCGGAGACATCAAATCAAATTTTATTTGTCACACGTGTTTAGCAGATGTTATAGCGTGTGTAGCGAAATGCAAGATATGTAAACATTATTAAAGTGACTGTAAACATTATTAAAGTGACTAGTGTTCCATTTCTTAAAGTGGTCAGTGATTTCAATAGGCAGCAGCAGCCTCTAATGTGCTAGTGATGGCTATTTAACATGGCCTTGAGATAGAAGCTGTTTTTCATTCTCTCGGTCCCAGCTTTGATGCACCTGAACTGACCTCGCCTTCTGGATGATAGCGGGGTGAACAGGCAGTGGCTCGGGTGGTTGATGTCCTTGATGATCCTTTTGGCCTTCCTGTGACATTGGGTGCCGTATGTGTCTTGGAGGGCGGGTAGTTTGCCCCCGATAATGCGTTCATCAGACCGCACCACCCTCTGGAGAGGCCTGCGGTTGCGGGCGGTGCAGTTGCCGTATCAGGTGGTGATACAGCCCGACAGGATGCTCTCAATTGTGCATCTGTAAAAGTTTGTGAGGTTTTTAGGTGCCAAGCCGAATTTCTTCAGCCTCCTGAGGTTGAAGAGGCTCTGTTGCGCCTTCTTCACCACACTGTCTGCGTGGGTGGACCATTTCAGTTTGTCGGTGATGTGTACGCCAAGGAACTTGAAGCTTTCCACCTTCTCCACTGTGGTCCCGTCGATGTGGATAGGGGGGTGCACCCTCTGCTGTTTCCTAAAGTCCATGATCATCTCCTTTGTTTTGTTGATGTTGAGTGAGAGGTTATTTTCCTGGCACCACACTCCCAGAGCCCTCACCTCCTCCCTGTAGGCGGTCTCGTCATTGTTGGTAATCAAGCCTACTACTGTTGTGTCGTCTGCAAACTTGATGATTGAGTTGGAGGCGTGCTTGGCCACACAGTCATGGGTGAACAGGGAGTACAGGAGGGGGCTGAGCACGCACCCTTGTGTTTCCCCAGTGTTGAGGATCAGCGAAGTGGAGATGTTGTTTCCTTCCTTCAACACCTGGGGGCGGCCCGTCAGGAAGTCCAGGACCCAGTTGCACAGGGCGGGGTTCAGACACAAGGCCTCAAGCTTGATGATGAGCTTGGAGGGTACTGTGGTGTTGAATGCTGAGCTATAGTCAATGAACAGCATTCTTACATAGGTATTCCTCTTGTCCAGATGGGATAGGGCAGTGTGCAGTGTGATGGCGATTGCATCGTCTGTGGATCTATTGGGGCGGTAAGCAAATTGAAGTGGGTCTAGGGTGACCGGTAAGGTAGAGGTAATATGATCCTTGACTAGTCTTCTCAAAGCACTTAATGATGACAGAGGTGAGTGCTACAGGGCGATAGTAATTTAGTTCAGTTACCTTTGCTTTCTTGGGTACAGGAACAATGGTGGCCATCTTGAAGCATGTGGGAACAGCAGACTGGGAAAGGGAGAGATTGAATATGTCCATAAACACACCAGCCAGCTGGTCTGCGCATGCTCTGAGGACGTGGCTAGGGATGCCGTCTGGGCCTGGCAGCCTTGCGGGGGTTAACATGCTTAAATGTCTTAATCACGTCGGCCACGGAGAAGGAGAGGCCACAGTCCTTGGTAGTGGGCCTCGTCAGTGTCACTGTGTTATCCTCAAAGCGGGCGAAGAAGGTGTTTAGCTTGTCTGGAAGCGAGACGTCGGTGTCGGCTGGTTTTCCTTTTGTAGAATCTTGTCATTATTTCCAGACCTCTGGACTGATACACTTTTACGCCTGCTACGTTGATACACACAGACTGCATAGACCACATGAGAGAGGAATGTACACAACACAATGACGAGGGAGACAGTTTGTGAAAGTATGCCTAATCTAATTTGAAGAACTAATACAATTATATCGTCAGACAGCTCTGCAGCATATTTAGGCAAGCTAGTTAAATAGGATGGCTAAAGACAGCACAGTATGGGGAGCACATAATGTTAGATGGCCAGGCTGGCTGACTGCTACTGCCTGAGGAAAGATGATTACTTTAAGGAATGAAAATAATTAAGTCATCAAATAAACACTAAGTAATATACACAACTGAAATATTTAATTATTTCATAGTAATTTCCTATTTTTCTATTAATGTCTACCCAATGTGATCAGAGACAATGGAATATTTTCAATGTTTTGTATTTGAATATTCACTATTTGGGGCTTTGGAATTGTTACGTCATCATTTTATCACCAAAATTGAAAACTGTGATCATTTTTTCATAATTGAACCGAAACAACCTAAAAAAGCACAAATCTCTCAGCACTACCGGCTAAACAGCTGATCTTAGCAAAAATGTGTTTGGAGTTACCTTTCTAGCAAACATGCTGACCACACCGCTCGCGTTCCATGCACGAGCGTTGCAAAATAAAAACATTTACACAGACATGTTATTCAATCATTTCATCCAAACTGCTAACGAGCATCTGCGTAGCCCAGGCGCTAAAATAAAACTTGGTTCTATGTTTGACGCTTGACGCGCTGCAAGTCCCGCCTCTCCCATCTCCTCATTGGTTTTTAGGAGCATATACCCACGTAGGTGATTGAAAGATGAACTGAGGTCCACACGCCAGTCCAGTTGGTGGTGGTAATGCACCTTAAGGTTGGTTGCCAACCGCCATATAAAGTCCACAGAAGAAGAAGAAGACTAAAGGAGGAGAGATTACTAGAAACTAACTAGGTTACCCTTTGATCTGTGGATTAATTGTCGGAGTAGAAAACACACGATTTTGTGTG